ACGATCGGGCATAGCTCCGGAACATGCCCGCAAAATATTGCTAGTGTCTCGTCGGCTCTTGTGGACGTCTCCGGTGCTCTGCCATCGACCAGCTCGTCACCCCCGCCGGAGGACTCCACCCCGGGTTTCGGGCCGTGGATGCTGGCAACAAGGAAAGCCCAGCGCAATTCTAGGGAGGTGCAGTGGAAAGGAAAGTCGAAACACGATTCCGAGACGCAAAATACAGCACTAAATGTCAAAAATGGGAATCGGGGATTGACGATTGAGGGGAACCAGCCATTACCTTCTGTGACAATCTCCAACGGTTCCCTATCTCAACGGAAAACAAGTCAAGAAAGGAAAGCGACAAACGGGAAAAAGAGTGGCGACAACGCAAAGAAAGGGAAAGAGAAGATGATTAACGAGGCTAGGGAGAAAGGGAAAGGGCTCCTTGGGCCGGGGCCCAGCTCGGGTACCTCCGTAGCAGCCAGGCCAAAACCCGCAGCAAGTGATGGGGCTTCGCCCTCAGCCCTGCAGATCGATCCTAGCCCGTACCAGCTGGCTTCACCGATTGCGCCAGGGGATGTTATTGGGCTACAAGCCCAACAAAGAATCAAGGGCTCTCCCCCCAGCTGCCTGTGTTACGGACTGTTACGGGACCAAACGGAACGGTGATGCACATTGTTGAAAATCTCCTAACATCAAAAGAAAACTACAATATGATCCCCGATCCCATCCCCTCTTTATCGGCAAGAACAAAACAAAGCAAAAGCAAGAAAAGCGCAAGGGAAAAAAAGGTCGCCCATCAAGCTGAATCCGAATAAACCCATTCAAATTTGGTCACCGGTAAAAGAAAGGGAACCCAAATCCAAAGCTCGAATGGCATTGCTGACTCTGTAAGAAATAAATGCATGGATTGAGTCAGCAAAGCTACCAACAAATGGAGATAGGGCGGCAGATCTGGCTGGTCTTCCGAAGCCGGCAAGCGGCCTGGATGACACAGAGGTCTTCAAGGCGTGATGGAAGTTCCCCAAGCTCAGAGATTTCTCCTCGCCCCTCCCTCTTTCTGTTGGGTATCCTTTTTAATCTCTATGTCGATGAATCCTAAGATAAAAGTGTTTGCGTGGAACGTTGGAGGCGCGGGAAGCAGAGCTTTCTGTCGGGCGCTGAAGCTAACAATTCAGACTCACCGCCCGACTTTGTGGTGCTGCTAGAGCCCCAAATGAGTGGCGAGTCAGCCAACGCGGTGTGCGACAAGCTAGGGTTCCCTAATTCTTTTCGGGTGTAAGCCGAGGGCCGGACAGGTGGTGTGTGAATTTTCTCGGATGGAAGAGTTTTCTCGGTGCAAACTTATTCAGCCTGTTCGGAGCACCTTTCTTTGCAAGTGCACAGAGCAAGCGATCCTCCGTGGATGTTGATTATGGTGTACGCCTAACCGCGGCAGAGGGATCAACGACATCTCTGGGAAAGGCTTATTTCCTATAGAAAATTCATTGATATGCCTTGGCTTCTCACAGAGGATTTTAATGCCATTAGCAAACCGGAGGAGAAATCGAGACCTCCTGCAAGGAACACGCTGAAGAGATGCCAACTATTCACCGAGAGACTTCACTTGGCGGAGCTAGTTGATCTAGGGTTCTCTGGTCCTAAATTTACCTGGTCAAGAGGATAACAAAGCCACACTTACAAAAGCTAGCCGCTTGCACAGGATTCTATGCAATCTCCGTTGGAACACAGCCTTCCCCAACTCGTCGGTGCTACACTTGTCGCACTACCAGTCGGACCACAACCCGACCCTCGATCACTCCGTCCCGTGGAGTTCAACAGGGAGACCCCCTTTCTCCTTACCTTTTCGTGCTTTGTATGGAGAGATTATCTCACAGGATTGATGAGGCGGTTAATAATGGACAATGGAAAGCTGTGCAGCTAACCAATGTCGGGCTGCCACTAACTCACCTTTTTTTGTATATGATCTTTTATTGTTTGCAGAGGCGAAAAAGAGACAGATCCGAGTCATTAAGCAGTGCCTAGCGGACTTCTGTTATAGCTCGGGTCAACTATAACAAATCCATTCTCTATGTCTCCCCGAATGTTGATCGTTATAAAGTCGAGGAATTGAGTACGTGTGCGGGGATTCCTTTGAAAGCTGCTATCTGGAGATATCTCGGCATTCAGGCAATCCAAGAGAGGGTCACCAGAGGGAGATACCAATCCCTTATTCTGCGCATACAAAAAAAGATGGCACCTTGGAAAGCGAAACGTTTATCCTTTGCAGCTAGACTCACAGTCGCTAAATTGGTGACTGTTTCCTTGCCCGTCTATACGATGCATACATAACTGATTCCTAGTGGTGTGTGCAGGAGTATCAACAAGATTGCCAGAGACTTTGTCTGGGGAGCAGAAGAGAATCACTCCAAATTTCACCTTGTTGCATGGGAGAGGCTGACGATCGCAAAGGATCAAGGTGGGGTGGGTCTCCGTCCAACCCGCCAGGCTAACCTGGTTATGCTTGCTAAGTGCGGCTGACGTCTTCTCCAGGAGAAAGATAACGTTTGCCGTCAACTCCTCCTCTAGAAGTATGGGGGCCAAAGGACAGGGCTTGATGTCTTTCGGAAAACTCAGGGAAGTTCCTTCACCTGGAGTAGCTTCTCGAAAGCTACTGACCTCCTTAAACAAGGATGTGCATGGAATATTAAAAATGGGGAAAAAACTAAATTCTAGTATGATCCGTGGATTTTGCAGGTTCCCCTGAAGGAAGTAATGACTGGAGACTTGTCGGGAGACTTCGAGGAGGCGGTGGTAGCAAATTTTGTTCGTGATGATGGGAGCTGGCGTACGGAGCTGTTCTCCAGCCTCCTGCCACCTGACATCTGTTACAAGATCACTAGCACGACAGTTGATAAAATCTCCCAAGAAGAGGACATTTTGTTTTGGACTCCGTCTGTGATGGCCGTTTCTCCACAAAGGTAGCCTATGGACTCCTTACCAAGCAGGATCAGCAACCTTGCGATGGGATATGGAATGCAATTTGGCGTCTCCCAGTTCTGAAACGGATCAGAGGTTTTGTGTGGCTGGAAATTCAGGGAAGGATAGCTACAAATGCACTTCGGTTTCAGAGGAAGGTGGCGACGTCACTCTGCTGCCCGCATTGTGAAGGGCGTCAGGAAACAGTTCTCCACATTTTGCAATACTGTGCTCCAGCTCTTTATTTTTTCTCCAGGCAGGTTCCTCAAGGAAAGCAACATGCCTTCTTCAATGCTAACCATGATGAGTGGTTCCTCAATAATATTATGAGTAAGGAGGCTACCACCTCGGGGATCAATTGGCCGGGCTTTTTTAGCATGGTCATTTGGCTTTTATGGAAAAATCGCACTACTGCTGCCTTCAAAAGAATAGGTGCTGCTCTTACTGCCCCGTCTCTTATGCACTCTATTACTACCAAGGGTAGAATTTGGAATGAGTCTTGGTAGGCATCTGAGTTGTTCCTAAACCACAAGAAGCAAAGAGTCGAACCGGTTGTGGCAGCCGTGGGGTGGACTCCGCTAGCAGAGGGCTGGGTTTTGGTAAACACGGATGGGGCTTCAAATGGGAATCCAGGCCCGGCGGGAGTTGGTGGTGTCGTGCGAGATTCCCTGGGAAACTGGCTGGGATGGTTCGTCGCCAACATTGGCATCGCAACAGCCGCTTTAGCGGAACTTTTGGCCATTTTTTATGGGTTAGAGCTGACTTGGAAACTTGGTTTTCGTGTGGTATAGATAGCCACAGACTCTCAGCTTGCTATTCAGTTGATTCAGGAACGTCATGATCCCATCCACCCCTATGCCACTCTTTTGAGTCTCATTCGGCGGAGGATGGGGCAAGATTGGCTGGTTAGTTTGTCTCATACATACCGAGAAGAGAATAGAGTCGCGGACTGGCTTTCGAAGCACAGTCTCGTCTATCCCTTCGGTATGTATGAGTTGGCTGATCCACCTACGAGCGTGGTTTCGATACTCTAGGATGATGTTAGGGGCACTACCTTTGAATGCCGAGTTGTGACTAACTCCTCCTCCCTCAGTTAATCTCCCCCTGTAATCCCTCTTTTTCTTGGCCTCTGGCTCCTTGCTATGCAAAAAAAAAAAAAAAAGATTATATTAGTCAACGTGCCATGTTATCTCTTAACGAAAATTATATATTTTCAAATTACAATGCTTGATCTATGTGATAAGATGTAATGGTTTAAGTACGTGTCAGAATTTATAGCTAGACAGATTGTTGTTTTGCTTGAGATATTGCTCCAATGATGTCACATTAAACCTTTATTGGATCGAAATTGTAGAAGCTAAACCATATTCAACGATGAACTTATTGATGAAAATAATATATGTGACAACAAATAGCAATAGGGCTGATAATCAGTCCGGTTATAACCGAAACCGTTTAGTCGGTTCTCGGTTAATCGTTCAGCACTTCGTGCTTACAGTTAACTGGACCATTTATATATTAGTCGGTTAATCATAACCGCATAGTCGATTCTCGATTATTTTTTCGATTAACGGATAACCGTTAAGCAAATGATTTAGCAAGGTTATACCAAAATAATTTATACGTAACATAACCAACGAAACACCTCCTCCTTTTTTCAATTGTGCATTTTTGTAGATTTTTTTCCTAAATATGTACCTTAAGTTGTTAGTGAATATAAAAAATTAACATATAAGCAAGTCCAACTTTCCACCGTGATCCTTCTAAAGCCTTTATTTGAAAATATTCTCATTTGAGCTACTATTACAACTAGGGTATGCAAGAGATCTTGTAGGCCTTCAAACATCTCATTATTTCTGGCATATGCTTGCGGCTCATCGAGACCTATTATTTGCGGCAATAACTATGAAAATGGCCGTAATCGGTTAGTCATTTAATCGTCGGTTACTAATAGTTTAAGTGTCGGTTATTAATCTACTGAATTTAACTACCGGGAACCAACTGTTTACTGTCTAATCATTTATAAATGTAACCATCGATTTCGGTTCGATAATCGATTACACCGTTAACAAGATAACCGTTTACCGGCCGTACTTAGTACTTATCGCGATGCTTTGCTTCACAATCATCTAGATCTAGCAAATCGGACCACCTTCAAAGATCCAAATTCTAAGCCCAGAACTGCTACAAAGCCCAGGAACAGAAAAGCCCACAATAATCTTGGCCCATGATCATTGAAACCCAATGCTACTCGGATTTGTCGGCTTCTCTGATCACAAGAAGCTGTAATCCTCAAGAACTGGAAAAACAAAACCCTTCAGTAGTCATTTTGCTCGACGGTTAAACCCTGGTTAGGCCGCCGGCGAGAACCTCAGAAAATCACATAACCGGCAATAGAAATGGCTGCCAGGTTCCTTCGTACCGCGCACAGAGCCTTGAGATCATTCCAGCACAGTCACCGAACTCTTCCTCCTTCGCTCAAGCTGGCCGCCTCTAGTTGTCTCTTCCAATCCAGAGCTTTCGCCACAGACAGAGCTTCCAAACCGCCTTCCGAAGCCAACATCCTCCGAATCCTCGACAACGAGATCGAATACCAGTATGATTACGCCCCGCCGCACCAGGTTCGACCAATCTAATCCATGAATTTCTCTGTTTCTAGTTTCGCCCCAATTCGTTTAGGGTTTTAGAGCAATTTGAAAAAACTGGAATCCAACTGTTGGGTTTACCTTCGCCCCAGCCGGCGGTGGAATTCGATTCGTTCGTCGTGGAGGACCGACCGGGGCAGCAGTGGATGACAATGGCGAGGAAGTTTGGCGCTGCTGAAGAGATCAAAATTGAAGCGACAATGTTCGACGGATACGAACTCGTTCCGAAGCCCGGAGCAGATAGTTCGGGTGAGGATTTGCGGCTTCATATCAGCTTGCTCGTCGACGTGTCGAGAGGCGACGGTGGCGGCACGTTGGAGTTTGTTTGCTCGGCGTGGCCGGATCGGTTGGAGATCCAGAAACTGTATCTGCTTCCCAAAGACAAGCTGCTCGGCAGGCCTTACTTGGGTCCTGATTTCCGGTATGGCTTTCTTTTTACTCTTACTCATTTTGCACATTGTTTTGCATGTTTCATTTTGATATGAGAATCATGTTATTCTGAATTCATGGATTTCAAGAATCAATCACTGCCCTTCTTACCTTGTAGTTTGATATTACATAGATTCTTACAATCCCATATACAAACTGAATTACGTATGTGCTTGCCAACGGCCCTTGAATGATTCATGCTGTGTTCATCAGGAGTTTGAGTGGCAAGCTTCAGGGTAGGTTTCGGAGCTTCTTGGAGGAAAGAGGGGTAGATGATAAGCTCTCGTTTTTCTTGCACGAGTACATGACGAACAAGGATAGGATTGAACTGATTCAATGGCAGCAAAGGCTGAAATCTTTTGTTGAGAAGTAGAGAGCTTGTAGTAGTAATTCCATCCGCTTTGGTGGTATGAGAGTTAATCCCCTTGTTGATGACAGGGATTTTGGGTGAGAATCATTTTATTTTGTACATAGTTCTTGAAATGCTCTTCCATTTTGATACTTGTGGGGAATTGGATGCTGGAATGTGATAGCAGGAGAAGATAACAATGATTTTGACTTGGCCGAGTTGTGTAATGGAATGTGGCTAATGTGAATTGTTTATGGCCAATTAGGAACAGTTAACAGATAAACTACACACTCATGTGAGTGGGTTGGGCAATTAGGAGTTCCATAGTTGGGCAACTTTGTGACAATAAGTGATGTTCCCTCAAAGGTTAAGACTTTTTCTTCTTCTTTGGTATCCAAAAGAAAATTGGAGTCGTGTGACATCTCTCCATCAAATCGATCGTGTTTTCTCATGACATTACAACCCACCTAGTTTTGTCTTCAAATGAAAGGGTAGATCTTTTGTAGTAATGCTTGCATATCTGGCTTAATCAGATCCTAACTGCTTAATTACCTTACCAAATTGTTCTCAATGATGATAAATTGACAATTATCGCCTCACTTTCATCCGAAAGCAGGGAGTAGGGAGTAGAGATGGCAATGGGTCGGGTTGGTTCGGGTTTTGCAAAACCAAACCTAAACCTATGAATTTATCAGTGAAAAAAACCCGGGGTAAAATTCATTTGGGTTTGAAAAACTCAAACCCAACCCGCTGGGTATCCGCGGGTTCATGGGTACGAATATCAATCTCCCAATACAAATTATCCATATATAAAACACCATTCTAGAAAATTCAAGCAAATCACAAATTAAATATACAAATTGTTCAACACAAATCTAGAAAACTCAAGAAAATTGAAGCAAATCACAAATTATCCACAAATAACACGATTAATTGAAAGTTTCTTCCTCCTTGTCAATTAAGTTTCTTCACTCTCCACTCAATATCATCAAGTTCATTCTACACAATTAGAAAGAAAAAATTAGACATGTCTCTCCAGACATAAATAAGATTAGTTGTTTAAAATATTAAATATACCGAGAAAATTAATTATATGGGTGTGGGCGGATACCCATGGGGTGGGTTTACCTGAACCTAAACCCAACCCAACCCGATGAATAGTAAACGGGTTTAAACCCGAACCCGGTCCAAAACCCGTCAACACGGGTTTTACCCGCGTTGACCGGGTTGGGTCGGGTGGGTACCCGTGAGTTCGGGTTTTGTTGCCATCCCTAGCAGGGAGTACGCCAGTTCATAGGAAGGAAGGGGCCATCACGCCCCTAAAATTTTGGATCTAGATATATATACACATGGTCAGAAAAATATAGCATTTACTTAGTGGTCTCGTGGTTGACGAGAGCATATTAGTTTCTTCTACATATTAGGGGTTGGTTTTTTTATTTTTTACAAAAGATAATCATATATTGATACTGAAGAAAAGATCGTTACACCACATGCCGTAACCAGGCTACAAAATCATAAGAACGACTCGCTATCGGGTACAAAGAAAGGGCCTTCCGAGCCACCAAATGGGCTACCCTGTTATTACGCCGACCAACGAACCGAACACTAAACCCTGCATTCTCAGCCAGACAGAGCAACACCACTCAGAAAATAGCTCCTGATGTACTATCACTCCCCTGAGCCGAGTTGAGCCTGCCAATAACCACCTTCGCATCCCCCTCAAATTGAACGCGCAAGAGCCCTCGATTTCGGCACCAAAGAATGGCTTCTCGGAGAACCAATAACTCAACGAGCAACGGATCATCAATCTCCGGAAAGCACCCACCTGTTGCACCAACCACCACCCCATCCAAACCCATCATCACCACTCCACCCGACGAGTGGGACCCATGCCTCACTGCTCCCTCCCACCTACAGATGAGGGTATCCAGGTGCGCATGGGACACCAGAGGGCTACCAACCACGGGGGCACACCCCACCACATCCGTCGGCAGAGAAGTCCATTCCCCTAGCTGCTGGTGGTACTGACGGATTAAAGTCGGAATCCAAAACTGTTTGCCTTCAAAGACAACCTAATTCCAAGACTTCCAGATCCACCAGAGCACAGCCACCACCGCCATGATCTGAGGAGGGTCTCTGATGATGGCAAGTAATTGTTTAAGAAAGAGAGGGAAGGTGTGACGAGGCAACCCTTGGCCCACATGCTCTAACCCAGCATAATCCCACAAAGCTCGAGCCACACAACAATCTAAAAAAAGGTGTTCCATCGTTTCCGGAGCAGACCAGCAAACCGGGCATCGGGGATGAACAACCACCTTCCTTCCGATAAGAGTCTCCGTAGTGGGAAGGAAACGATGTAACACTTGCCATAAGAACACCTTCAATTTGGGCGGGATCCCCAAATTCCACACCCGCTTCCAACTTCCCCGGTCCATCCAACTAACTGTTGGGCGCCAATCCCCGGCCTGCTGATCCTTGAGAACAGCCAGGTGATACGCTGACTTCACAAAAAAAACCATGTCCCCCGTCATATGCCAGACAAGTCTATCCTCCATAGCCCTCCTAGGAAACGGAATACCGCGGATAGAATGCCAAACATTTGGAGAAAACCACTCACAAAGCTTATCCGTCAACCAGCGACCCTCAACCGGGCAAATGAAGTCAGCCACCTTGAGATCCACCCCATCTGGAACAATTCGAGGATTAAACGTGGGAGGGTCAGGGTGGGTTGGGGTTTGATTTCCCAATTTTAATTTTTTCCCCATGTAATTTTAACATTTGAAACCGTACCGGAGACCATATCGGAAAAGCCAACAATAGGGTATTTTATGACAAAAGCGTGGTTTCATTGTAGTTTAACGTTGGTATCGTCAAATACTGTCTATCGATTTAGCCTCTGATACTGATATTTTATGGTTGAACTGCCGATACGATATGGTTTCATGGACCATAATTTTTATGGGTGTTTATTTCACATTTTGAAAGTGAATTTCATCTAATTTCACCTTTTTCATGTAATTTTAATTTTTTATATGTCCATTTTTTTTAGACGGGAATCTAAAATTTCATTAAGCTCAGGCAAAAGCCTCTAAAAAAAACTGTCAAATACAAAAAGCTGTATAGCTTCTATAACCATAAGTAAGTAAAACTTCTAACTATCTAGAGCATCAATGAAGACAAGAATTGTCTGGAATTCCGGATCTCCATTCACCCTACATGTAACCTCACCACGCACAACACTACATATCTCCAATGGTGATCGAGCAAGCCTATCTCCATACAAGCGTGAGCATCGTTTACGCCAAACCAGCTGAGCACAACACACCAAATCAGTCGACACACTTTCGATTTAGCAGAGTTCCCACCACCCCAATTCTGCACACACCAATCAACCATTTGATCCCACCACCCCAATTATGCACACACCAATCAACCATTTGCCCCCATTAATTAGTATGTCCCAAATGTGTCTTAAAACACAAGCCTTATTCCAGATTCCAAAATTCCTTATACCCAATCCACCTTCCAGTTTCGGTTTTGCCAATAACTCCCAAGCCATTACAGCTTTCTTCCTTGAACCATCCTCACCAGAATTCCAGAGAAACACATTACAGAGTTTCTCCACTTCTCTAATCACATATTGAGGCAGCAAGAACAGATTTAGCCAATATTGCAAAGTACCAGTAATGACTGAGGACACCAGTTGAATCCTTCCATCATAGCTAAGTGATTTAGTTCTCCAACTCCTCAATTTCTGGGTTATTCGATCAATTAAGACTTGACAATCTCTACGAGATAGCTTACCCGTAAGCTAGGGAACCCCTAAATACTTCACAGGTAAAATCCCAAGTGGAAACTCAGAGAATGTTGAAAAACTTTCTTTCTCCTCCTGTGGGATCCCAGCACAAAACAGTTGGCATTTGGCAGGGTTGCATCTTAGCCCAGAAACATAATAAAACTTATCCATCAAACGTCTAATTCCATCAACTCCTCGAATAGAGCCATTGGTAAACATCACCAAGTCATCAGCAAAACATACATGGGTTATATGTAGTGTTTGCATCTTGGATGGAAGGGTATTTGATTATCAGCCACATCTTTCTTTACCAAATAATCCAGAAACTCCATAGCAATGACAAACAGATAAGGGGACAGAAGGTCCCCTTGCCTGAGACCTTTTCTAGCCGAGATTCTTCCACATAATCCACCATTCACAGCCACACTAATCAAAGGAGTAGTAATACATGCTCTGATCAATTTCATATAACCATCAGGAAAATTCATAACAGTCATCACCTTGAACAAAAATTCCCAATCCACTAAGTCAAACGCCTTCATGAGATCAATCTTTACAGCACATATGGGAGTAATTACTTTTTTATGGTAATCCCTCACTAACTCAGAAACCAATAAAATATTATCACTAATAGCCCTCCCTTTCACAAAAGCAGACTGAGATTTGCTAATCAGTTTAGGTAAAACTCGTGCCAACCTATTTGCTAACAACTTAGAAATTCCTTTGTACAGAACATTGCAGCAGGAAATAGGTCTATAATCTTTCATGTGTTCAGCACTAGGAATCTTAGCAACTAGAGAAAATATGGTTGAATTCACAATGGGAGCTAATTGACTAGTAGAGAAGAATTTCAAGATTACCTCTTCAACATCTTTCCCAATAATATCCCAATGAGCATTGTAGAATTCCACTAGAAACCCATCAGGTCCAGGTGCTTTACCCTTTCCCATATCAGAAAACACTTTCCTTATTTCCATCATTGTAATCCCCTGCATAAGTTCTTCACCATCCTTAGCACTCAATCTATGCTGGATGAGACCTTGAAAATATTCTACTGAAAGCTTCTAAACATTTGGATCCACTGAACCAATCAGCTTCGAATAGAAATCCACCGCAATTGACCCTATCCCTAGCACATCAGTCACCTTGTTATTCTGAGAGTAATACAATCTTGTTATCTGCTGCTTCTGATTTCTGATTTTAACATATTTGTGAAAGAAAGATTTATTAGAGTCCCCTTCTTGTATATGCTGAATTCAAGATTTCTGTTTAAAAAACAACTCCTCAGTCTTTCTCAACTCCAGACAAGCTAAATTTGCCCTCTGTTCTTCCTCAACAAGATGTGGAGAAGGATCTTTCAAAACAGCACACTGAGCAATTTCCAGAGCAGCTTCAGCCTCACGAACTCGACCAGATATTTCTGAATAGACCTCTTGATTAAGCTTCTTCAAACCAGACTTTACCTGACCCAGCTTACTATAGAAAACAAAATGTGGATAGCCACTAAATGACTTCTTCCAAGCCTCTTGAATAATAGACAAATAATGAGGATGTGCTTGCCAAAATAAGAAATATTTAAACGGCTTAGGCAGGGAGCGTAATTGAGGAGCAGTATGCAA